CGCCCCTACTGCGGCAAACATCGGATCTCTACGCGGGGCACGAAGCGTGTGAGCGGTGTGACGAAACGAGCGCGGAGACGCCATGCGAACGCCCCTTCTGGAACCGTAAGTGGAGCTCCTTGTGGGAGACGATCCGTGAGGAGGGTGTGCCGAAATAGACGAGGTGAAAACGTAGAGAGTCCATGTATGGATCCCCCCCTCTGGGGTACGATCCGTGAGAGGAAGGTACCGCTGACATGGGCGAGGTGACGGAGCAGCTAGGGCAACTATCTTCTCGCTTCGCGCTCCGCCAAGCGCAATTATCTCAGCGTTTTCGCGCCGCCGCCCCCCCCGCCCCGGAACAGGATGAGGGACCGCGCCTCGCTTTGAAATCGCCCACACCGCGAAGCACAAATCGCGACTCACTTCACACCCTCGTGGCGGCCGTAGTCCACTGGGGCTGCAGGTCATCCTCTTCCTCCTCCTCCGCCTCCTCCTCCTCCTCCTCCTCCTCCTCCTCCTCCTCCTGTGGAGCTCTCTATGGGGCACTGTCCGTGTGAGGGGTGTGCCGATGCGGGCACGCGGGCAGCGCCAGCAGCTGAAGCCAGCGGCGCCCCCAGCATCGGCCACAGCGGCTGCCAGCCGCAGCAGCAGCGGCAGCGGCTGGCAGCGTCTGTGGCGCGCAGCGCAGCAGCAGCAGCAGCAGCAGCAGCAGCAGCCGCATGAAGCAGGGCTGGACCTAAATTTTGTTGTTCGTTTTGTGTTCGTTTTGTTGTTCGTTTTGCTGTACCTGTTTTCCTGCACCTCCTTGCCACAACGAAAAGCAAAACACAGCCGAGGTCCACTAAAACAGCGTTAGGTCCAGCCCTGCATGAAGGGGAGCATGGGGGAGGAGAAGCGAAGAGAAACCGAGGACACAGCAACACGGGGAATTTGAGAGAGAGAGAGAGAAGGAGCCGACATCGTCGCCGCTCTCCTCTCCCATGGGCCAATTGAAACAGGTGGTGTCTCCAGAAAACAGCAGCACCTGTCTCAAACTTCGGCCCCCCCCCTGGAGAGTTCCGTACGCCTCTGCCTCCTCCTCCCTCCTCCCTCATGCCTCCTCCCTCCCTGGCTCCCCCTTTCCTCTGTCCTCCTTCCCTCCCTCCCTCTTCCTCCTTCTGCTCCTGCACAGTAGGACCTCCTGGAGGACGGCGGTGAAATCGATCTGTGTCTTGGTCGCCTCGATGGCGCGGAGGATACCGGCCAAGTTAGCCCCGGCCGTGTAATTCGTCTCGCTCCTCAGGGGGAAAGAAGTATGACGAACGAGGGCGAGGAGGAGGAGGAGGAGGAGGAGGAGGAGGAGGAGGAGGAGGAGGAGGAGGAGGAGGAGGGGGAAGAGGACGAGGAGGAGGAGGCGGAAGGAGAATAAGGACGATTTGGAGGAATGGAAGGGGAAGATGAGAGTTGGGATAGTGGGGAATGGGAATGGGGACGAGGGTGAGCAGTAGGGATGGGGGATATGGAGGAGGATGAGGGGGAGGAGGAGGAGGAGGAGGAAGAGGAAGAGGAGGAGCGGGAGGAGGAGGAGGAGGAGGAATAGGAAGAGGAGGAGGGGGAGGAGGAGGAGGAGGAGGAGCGAACGAACCCCAGGGAGAGGCGCGTCGATCTATAATGGGCGCGCACCGCCGTGCGCGCTCGGGCCAAGCCTCAGGGCGAGCCGTGAAGCCTGCATGTAGTCCTTGTGAGTGATGTAGGCGTTGTCGACGTTATTGTCGATCTTGATCGAGTGGTAAAATCGGTAAACCACTGCAAGCCGTACGAGCACGTGGTCGATCCTGTCATCGTCGGCCCCGAGCGGGTCGAAGTTGATATCATGAAGGCCAAGCCTGGCGAGTACACATTTGTGAAGACGTCCACGTGGCGATGCGGCATGGTGCCACAAGCGCTTGCAGACCAGGTAGTGGCTGAGGGCGTCGGGGTGAAACTTTGGGTTGCAACCAAAAACACAACCACGAAGGCCAGGTTGAACGTGCATACGGTATGACGTGGCCCACCCGCCCGAGAGCGTCTTCATCACAGGCCAGAAGCGCGAAGGCGGCAACTCGGCGATCTTCGGGCGGATGCGGTTCCACGCGGTCTTCATGTTGTATGGCAACTGGATGAGGGAGGTCAAGTCGTTGTCGTCCGCGTGCGCGTTGGTGAGGTCATCGGTGATCAATGGAGTAGAGTCCGAGTCGTTGTTTTGGAAGTCGGCGTCGTGGATCCAGCGGCGCCGAGCATGGTGTTCAGCAGCTGCACGCTCGAACCTCTGCTGTAATTCGGCGGTGCGGGGAGGGTTGAACGCGGCGGAGGTCTGAAGTCTGGGTGCCGATGTTGATTGCCATGCCTGCGTACAGATACGTTCAGCACGCCTACGGAACTGAGCGTCAGTTTGGCCGCGGAAGAGAACTTGAAGACCATCACGTCGTAGAAGACGAAGAATCAATGTTTCGCACCATTCATGCCAATCGTCGACGTCCCATTCATGTAGTGGTTGGGCGCGGTAAATCGAGGGAAGCCAATCGGAGGCCCAGTGCTGCAGGCATTCCGCGACGGTCTCGAGCTCGTTGGCTGCGTTGCGCATGTCGTGGTCATCATCATCAGGCGTGTTGGGAACTTGTAGATGAAGGGGTGGAAATCGTTGGAGGCGTCGTGAGTCGGCGTTGGCCGCAAGCGGCGCGGACGGGAGGGTGGGGAACCACGCCCGAAGGCGGGCGGCGATGGTGGCGTCGAAGGAATCCTCGTAGAGCACGCGCTGCAACGTGATCATGTAAGTGGTCTGCGGTGATTTCTTTGGAGGATCGTCATCAGCACGGCGAAGTTTGTCCATGACCCGAAGAGCGGCTGCGCGGGCGAGTTCATGGGCGTGGCGTAGCTGACGGTGAGCCAGATGATCGTGACGGCGGCTGCGCTTGATGGTCTTGAAGATGGTGCCCTTGTGGGTGGAGTAGTTGTCGCCAAACTTGGCCGCCCGCAGATGTTGCGCGATCGAGGTAGCGGAGGCCCAGCATGGCGCGGTCCAAAGTCCCTGGACAACTCGGACGAGAGGAATCTGATCGAGTGCAGCAAGATGGTGACATTCGAGAAGCTGGGGCCAGACGTTGGTGGTGGAAGTAGCAGAGCGCCACAGCGTGGCGGCCAGTAGGACTTCGACACCAGTGGGGATGGCGCAGCCCGCCCAGTTCGTCATGCCAAGGATGTCAAGCTTGGTGAATGCTGAAGGAGCAGATCTGATAACTTTATGAAGAGCATGAATTTCTTTGGAAAGAACGAGTTCTGGAGCAGGAAATAGCTGTCCAACGTAAGTGAGGCAAGTGATCGCGGAGGAGTTGTACAGCGAAACGTTCAGCTGGATGGCTGCGGAGGCGTCGCCCAATATCTGAGTACGATGGTACCACTTGGCCGCGGGGGCGGCCCATTGAGCTCGATCATCCGCACAGGGGCCGATGTAGACTCCGAGGTACTTGGCCTTGCCGTCGATCTTGAACTGGGACCAGGCGGGGTTGATCGTCCGGAGCGTGTCGCGCATGGCGTCGCCAACGTCTTCGATGCAGTTGGTCCATACAGGGACGAGCACGCACATACGAGGTTGGAGCATCAGCCCTGCGAAGGATTGGGCCGCTTCGGTATGCGGTAGGATGCCTTGCATGTCACGCAAGTGTGCTAAGACGCAACCAATGTCATCTGCACAAGCACTGGCCATGCCACGGCCGAGCTGATGAAAGTGGCGTTGAATTCCATGTAGGATGGGGTCGAACACCAGGGCCCAGATGGTGCCACTGAGCGGGCAGCCCTGGGCTACTCCGCTGGATGCAACGAGTAGAGGTCGACGTGCGCCTCCCAGCTCGAGGAAGGCGATGGGCGAGGCGTAGAAGGACTGGAGGAGGCGACGGACTCGTCCATCAATCCCCCATCTGCGAATCACTTCCCATAACCAGGCGTGAAGCAAGCTTGGGAAGGCGGCTGCGATGTCCATGCTGAGGAAGCAGGGCATGTGCTCGGTGGCGTTGTCCATGGTGCTGTAGATGCGGCTGCGCGTGTCGGCTTCGACTATGTTGTTGAGGAGCTGGCGGCCAGGAACAAAGCCTCGTTGGATACCCGACACTTGCTTGACTATCGGATGTAGCTTGCGGTTGATGGCTGAGGCGGCAATCTTTACGTCAGTGTTCTTCATCGCGAGAGGGCGGAGTTGGTCAGGCGACCGAAAGCATTCTGCATGACCAGCAGGCGCGTCCCCTTTTGGTAACATGGCGAGTAGGGCGTGGTTCCAGTCGTGCGGGATAAGGTTGTTGGCCGAGATGTTAGCCACGAGTTCTTCCAAGATCTCGAAACTGTAAGGAGTGGAAGTCCAGGCTTTGTAGGGAAGGCCGTCTGGACCTGCGGCAGAGCCATGTGCTCGTTTTGCTGCTTCTTGAAGCTCTTCAGCGCTGGGGAGTTCCAGCGTAACAGAGTCACGCTGGGGGAAGACGGTGTCCAGGTAGGCGTTCATGTTGGCAATGTTAATTGGCTTGTCTGCGAAGATCGGGCCCCAGTGTGCAAGTATGGCGTCGTGCATGTCCGATGGCGTCTTGGCGATGATGGAGGAACCGCCCTGCGAGATTCGGATGCCAGCGAGCACCAACCGCTTGGAGAAAGGTTTCCAGAGCTCCCCCAGTCTGCGAGTAGCACTAGCTCGTTTCCGCCACCTGTCTCCTTGTTGGCGCTGTAGACGTTGATAAGCATCACGGGCACGTGCGGCGGCGAGGGTGCGACGTTCCTCAGCGACTGCAGCATGGGCTTCAGCAGCGGCAGCGGCGAATGCGTTGGCGTTGCAAAGGCAGACCTTGCTTGAGGTGGTGTCGGAAGAGTTGTCAATGATGATCTGTAGGTGCTTGGAGCCCAGGTGGGTGGTGTCGATGAGGAGGCGCGCCAGCTTGATGTCCTGGAACCAGACCGCGCGGGAGATGCTCCTCATGGTCATCGAGTTGACTTCCTTGGAGATCGATGGGTGGTCGCGTGCCAGGACTTCAGGCGGCAGTCGCGCCAGAGCATCTCGCGTGGCCTTCGCGGCGTTCGTCATGTTGGCTTTCAGCGTGCGCCACTTGATGACGGGCGTGAGCGAGTCGTACTCGGTGTCGGCGGTGAGCTTGTCGATGTAGAACTTGTAGAAATCTGAGTTGAAGAGGAAGGCGGGGATGCCTCGTTCAGAGTGGGGCCGTTGGGCTCGGGGGCGAAATCGGACATGAAGGAGTTTGTGGTCACTGGCGGGGGTCCCTCTTCGTTCGAGAGGTGAGTCGTCGGCCACCATGATCGTCCCAACGTGGGTGAGATTATGAGCTTGGAAGGGGGTGAAGAAGCGGTCAATGCTTGACTCGGTGCTGTTCGCGTAGCAGCGGTGGGTGGTGGACGGAGTGCAAATCTCGACCAGCGGGCGGAAGAGCTGCTTCCAGAATGTGGGCTGGAATTGGTATCGTTCGTGAGCGGGCGCTCCGACAGGGCGCAATAGACTGCGGGCGGGTAATTCGGAGATGTTGAAATCGCCGAGCATGAAGAACATAACATGTTCAGGGCCGCTGCTTGCTTCGCTTAGTGTCACTTGCCACGTGGCCTTGACCCGTCTTCGGTCGTCAGCAGTAAGATCATTGTTGTGAATGTTGAGGTAGATATGGAAGTACTTCAGGCTGGGGTCGCGGATGCGCAGTTCGGCGACTCGACCAGGGATGATCGCGGTGAAGTTGATCAACGGCACGGCGTCGTCCTGGACGCCGAGAGGGAGGAAATTAGGGATGAGGAAGGCGACGCCGCCCGCCGCATTGGAGTCGGGGATGCCGCTGTGGTAGACGTCGTACTTGGCACCCGTGGGGTTGATGAGGGTGTGAATCATCTGCGATGTGCCGTGGGTCTCCTGAATGGCAATGAGGGAATGCTTGGCGAGGTAGGGCTTGAGGATGGAGAGTTTGGCATCGCGCTTGATGATGTTCGAATGCACCAATGCTTGAGCGTTCCAGCTGACCACCGAGCATTCGGCCAAAGACGATGTGGTAGTCGCGCTCCAAGGGGTCCATTTGCTGTTAAATCCACGACACTGATGTGGTTGCATCCGCAAAGGCAGCGGCAAGGGCGTCGGCGCATGAAGTACGCATCGCAGATGTAAGGCCGACACCTTCAGCAGCGTCAGACCATTGAATCTTGGTCGCCATCTCAGGGCGGGAGCCCACCTGGATGCGGACGATGGGCACATTGTCGATGGAGAGGTAGCCGTCGGTGCGGTGGATCTTGGGGTTGAGGTCCTGCTTGGCATTGTTGATGATCCTTGCAAGTTTCTTGAGCTGGATCTCCTGCCTGACGAGCTTGGGGCTCTTGTCCGCGCTGACGTAGCATGGAGCACCGCCGATTGAGAAAGTACGCCATTCTCGACCAATGCGAAGGTGATGATGGAGCGCTTGGGCGCGTGGTACTGCGACGGCATCGGCTCCGAGAGCTGTGATGGAGACCCGCTTGGCAGGAGCGGAGTTGTTGTAGCGGACCATGGATACGTCGATGTTGGCTGCCGAAAACCATTCGGCGATGGTTGACTTGAGAGAAGCTTGTGTGATGTCCACAGTAGAAGCAATCCAGAAGGTGCCGATGTGTGGAGCCCTGTCCCACGAGCCAATGTTGCTGATGCCGAGCGAGGGGACTTGGGCTTCAGCCTGTGCAATGGCAGTTTTGATCTTGTCCACCGCGTCGTTGAGGTTCTTGGACTCCACTTCGGAAGCGGAGACGCGTTGCTTGAGGGAGACGATGTCGTTCTCGACGTGGTCTTGGCGCTCGGTGAGCTTGGCCGTGATGTTGGTGATGTGCGAGATGAAGCTGGCTTGAGACGATGCGGCGACTTTCTCTGCGGTGGCCTTGAACTGTTCGGCTGCATCAGCGACCTGAATGGCCAAGTGCTTCTCGATCTCGGAGCGGAATAGTTCAAGTCTTTCCTTTTGCGCAGCGTCTTGCCATGGATCTTTGTTGTTCCGAGGACTCCGTTCACGTCGATCACGTATGGTGGCAAGGTCGCATGTCTCGGGCATGTTGAGAGCACACCGCAGAACGCTGAGTCTGGGTTCTCGACCTTCAATATGGATGTGGCCGCGGCACCACAAGCAGACAATCCTGCGTGAATGTGTAAAAGGAGCAGAAAAAAAGACACTCCTGAGCTGGCCCTGGAACAAGGGTATGCCATGAAAGCCTCTTGGCGCTGTGCCAAGCAACATAGGGACCTTGAGCCAAAATGGCTACGGAGGAGGAGGAGGAGGAGGAGGAGGAGGAGGAGGAGGAGGAGGAGGAGGAGGAGCAGGGGGGAAGAGCAGCGGAGTAGAGGAATAATGGAACAGTCGCTGGGATCCGATGCAGTATCAGTTGCCACAGGGGAGAGGACGGGGGAGGGAGAAGGAGGGAGGAGGATGGGAGGGGGGGGATGAGAGGGATGATTGCGAGAGCGGCAGCGCTCCTGAATTCCTGCAGCTCCTTGAGCACCAAGGCGCAGTCGGCCTGACTGGGGGCGCCCCAAAAACGGCCTCGCCAACGAGCATCCCGAGGGTGCACGCCCCGCCCATCGGCGGATGTCGGCGGAAGGCCAGCCGAAGCCGCCAGGATGCCAACGAGGGCGCCTCGACCTGCGCTGTGCAGGCGGAAACTGGAGCACCCCCCCCTGGGAGAGGCCCCTGGAGCGCTGTTCGCCGGCGCGCTGGAGGGGCCAGGGCGAGGGAGGCGGCCTTGCGCTTCGTTTCGCACTTCGGCCCGAAGCCTGCCTGGACTGGCCAGACACTTCGCTGTGCGGTCCCGTCCTGCCTGCGCCAACCGCTCAACGAATCCACGCGCTGCCGCTGTGCACTCCGCCAGTGCAGCTGCCTCTGCGGAGCAAGAGTCTGTCCAGGAGCCTGCCTTTTCAGTGTTTGCGATAACGGGCGTGATAGGGGGGGAGAAGTTCTTCATCCCCCCCACCACATCACGGCGGGGGTCCGCCGCGATGTGACCCTTGGGAAATCTTTGCGCACGTCGGCAAAGTAGCGTGACCTGACCCTTGGGGGGGGGGGGCGGGGGGAAAGTGCCGCTCACGGCCGTTATCGCCCAGGCCTGAAGCAAGCCGGCGCCAAGTCTCGAGGAACGTGCCTCCCATGGGCTTCCAAGGTGCCCCCCCCCCCCCCCCCCCCCTCGCCTCTTGCCCGGCCTGGGGCCCAGACCTTCGACGCCGTGCTCCTCTCAAGACGGGGTTCCCGGGTCTCACGACCCCTGCCTGGGGACGGGCGGTCGCCCCCCCGGGTCTCTGAGCGGCGGCCCTGGTCCAAGAGCGGCCCCCCGTCGGCTGCGCGCAGAAGTGGCCGTAGGCAAGTATGACCTTTGGTGCGCAACCCTCGGGGAGCCGCGGGGGGGCCAGCATCCAGGCGCGCAAGACGCTGCCATCGCATCGCGGTCGGCGGTCGGGCGGCCCTGGTGGGCGCCCGCACCAAAGGTCAACTCCTGCGAAGGGTCACTCTTACGTACGGTCGGAGGCAGAAGGACGAGAAGCACAGCTTCGTCCCGCGACGGTCCAGGGCTCAAAATGACGGCCCCAGGGCCCCGAATGGCCCAAGGGACCTTTCCTTCGACCTGACCCCTGGCCAGCCTTTCGAACTGCTGACGAGGCCCAGCTCGCCAACCCTCAAACCAACGACGCTGACGACGACGACGGGCCTACGGCAGGTTCGTGTCGTGCCGACCCCAGCGTTGGTTTTTGACACCGCAGGGATCGTTCAACCTTGAACGATCGGCCGCTGCCGCAAGGTCCGATCGTTCAACATCGATCGATTCTGGGTCGCCGGCGGCGTTCAACCTTGAACGCCCGCGCTGGGGTCGCCGCTGGTCGACACGACGCAAACCTACCGCACGTGGAAAGATCAGCCCCGCCTTGTCTTTTTCAAGGCGTGGCGCGCCTCGACCTCCCCGTGAGAGGTGCGCGCCCACCCCCCTGCCCCGCGATGTCTGCCCGCGCGGACCTGTCCTGCTGCTCCTCCTCCTCCTCCTCCTCTCCTCCTCCTCCTCCTCCTCTTCCTCCTCCTCGTCCTTCTCCTCCTCATCCAAACCGTTTCGGCTCGAGCTGATCATGTGTGAGAGCTCGAGCTCGTGCCCACGCACCCCGAGGCGGCCCGTGGGCACAGGCCAAGTTTTGCATCCAACGATTCCGTCGCGGGCGAAGCCCGCCCGCGCCCCATGGCCATGGCGAATCCAAACCCCTCGCCTGGCGCCTGGCTCGCACACCCCGGTGTGGTCGTGCGCCTGCGGGGAGGCGGCCAACCGGGCGTCGAGGGTGGCATGCCGAGGGCGATGCACATCAGCTCGCCAGCGCACTGTCACAGCCGCCCGCGCGGCGGCGAAGGCTGCCGTCCAGGGGGGCCCGCGCCGCTCGCCGCAAGGCAGATGGGGCGCCGGGTGCCCCGCGTCTCGCCCCCGACCCGCCGCGCGAGCCCAGCCAGGGGCTCGGGGCGAAGGTGGCGAAGCTCGTGGGCCCGGAGGGCCAGGGCAGTTGGGGCCCAAGCCTCCGCCTTGGGCCCCTGGTGGGAGCCGCGCCGCGGGCAAGACGAAGGGCGGGCAGGGAGACAGGCAGGAAGGACAGAGGAGGCTTAGGTTAGGCACGCCACTAGACCCGCCACCCCGAGCAGGCACCGAAGCCCCCACTCGACATGGCGAGCCCGTGGATTTCTCTATCAGTCAGTTCCACCGCCGCTCGTCGGCCCATTGGCCAGCGAGGGCCCACTCCTTGGTGCCCGCACAGGCACGCAAGGGTTCACGACGGCGGGCCAGCGAGCGGCGGCGGCGGCGGCAGGCGCACAGGGCTGCGCCTGCAACTCGCCGCTGGCGGGGGACACCACGTCGTCCTCCTCGTAGAGCTCCAGCTCAATGTAGTCGGCAGGCTGCGCACTCGCCAACTTGCTCGAGCTCGAAATCGCTCCACTGCGGCCTAACCCCTCGCCGCGCTGGGGAAACGCGTGGCCTAGCCCCTCGCCACGCGGGGGAAAGAAGCGGTCTAACCCCTCACCGCGCTGGGGTTGGTGGCCTAACCCCTCGCCACGCTGGGGAACGCTACGGTCTAACCCCTCACCGTGCTGGGGATCGCCTGACCCCGCAGTCTCGCCCTGCAGGGGTCGGCTGCGGTCTAACCCCTCACCGCGCTGGGATGCGTCGTACTGCTTCCCGTACTGCTCCCGCTCACTGCCGCGGTCTAACCCCTCACCGCGCTGGGGTGCTTTCCTCCACTCGGAGCGGTCGTCGGGCTGCCCCTGGCTCGGGGAGATCGCGTCAGGGTGCTCATGGAGCTGCTCCCCCACAATCTCCTGCCCATCAGGACGCCGCCCCTCGAGCCTCTGCTCTCCTTCGCCTCGATGGGGTCCTTCCTCACCGATACGGCCTAACCCCTCGCCGTGCTGGGGTGCGGTGTCGTCGTCCTCAACGTAGAGCTCGAGCCCGATGTAGTCGCCTGCCGCTGCCTTGGCTAACCTGCTCGAGCACGCCAGTGTATGTTCCCAGCGGCCTAACCCCTCGCCGCGCTGGGGAGCGTCGTGGCCTAACCCCTCGCCACGCAGGGGTCCCTCACCCGCTGGACTTGATGTTGCCGCCGATGCGCTTGTCGCCGTGGAAGCCCTGCACGTCCTTCTTGCGCGTGAGGGGGCACCTCCTCCAGCCGATCGGCCGCCGCCAGCACGGCTCCGATTTGCGTCGCCCGAAAGCGGACAGTGGGGAGCCTTCCTCCCCTCATGGAGGTAACTGGCAGGGGCCCTCTCAGCCTTCGCTGGAGGCCACCCTTGGGATGGAGGTCGTGCGCTCGTGGCCGCCGTACTCCCAGCAGTCGCCCGCTCCAGCCTGCAAAACCAGCTGCCGCGACTGAGGCCAGCTTCGACGGGGTCTCCTGCTTGATCGTCATCTGGTTCAGGCCGTCGTGGTGGTGGCGCCCGTTGTCTGTCTGGCGCCCGATCACCTAACGCCCTGCGGAACATGTCTCGTAGCCGTGCAAGTTCACGCCAATGCCGATGAGCCAATCTGCGATGCTCTTCAGGTTCCGTCTCTGGCACATGGAGTCGTTCGTAGAACTCATCCCTTCTCGCCGTCGTTTGCCTCCACGCACTTCCGCACTGCTGCTCGATGATCTGCTGCATCGTCTGCCCAGGGAACCAGCGCCTCAATGTGCGGCACAGCGGGTGGTTGTTCTCGTCGGTGAGCATCTGCGTGAGCATCGCTACGCACCACTCCTGCCAGCTGTCACTGTCTCTGGCCAAGCACGTAAGATCGTCGTACCACAGTGTTGCCCACTCTCTAAGATCAGCGCGCATATCGGCATAATCTTGTGGCCCCGTGTCCTCGACGATCGGCGGTAGTCCCATCGCGCCTGGAGCTTGATCCAATACTCCGCTGTTGTCGTCCATCTTGCAGTTGTCGTCGTGGTTATGGCTGTCCAATCCGTTCTGACTCCCCCCACGGTCGGTACTTTCAGCACTCGTGGCCGACATGGCTGCGCGCATCCAGTGCGTGCCGTGGGGGGCAGTTTCCGATCCAACTGCATGGCGACGATCTGCACGGTCTAACCCCTCACCGTGCTGGGGCATGGAGTGGCCTAACCCCTCGCCACGCTGGGGTACGCCGCGGTCTAACCCCTCACCGCGCAGGGGAGCTTCGCTGAAGAAGTCGTCGATGTCCCTCTGCACCTCGGGGTCGTCGTAATCCTCCAACTCCTGTAACATCGGCTCGGGCAGAGGGTCGCGCTCACAATCTGGTGGGTGTACCGCTGCTGGCCGAAAGCTTGCCGCTGGCGTCTTTCTCGTAATCCGTCTCGGTCGGGGTGCAGGATGAGGATCTGGGGGGGGGCTCCTTCAAAACCAATGGGCCGCAATACTCATGTGGCGCTAGCCGTTCTTGATCATGTAGCTCTCGCGCTTGCCTAGCTATTTGAGCCTCTCGTGCAGCTTGTGGTGGTTCTTTCCTGTAGCCAGGGTAGCGTCCGTCCCGAATCTTGTTGAGCGCATCCTGCCCGTACTTGGTGATCGTCTCGCTGCACTGCTCACGTAGCCTTTTCCCGATGGTCGTGCCATGCGCTGCGCACCGCGCACAGAATAGCAATCCGTACCGCGCCCATTCACTGACCACGCGACTGCGATGTATCTTGCCATTGCCCATGAACTTGTCGCCCTTTACCTCGACTATCTCGTTGGCCGTGATGAACGTAGCGTTGCATTCCGTCGTGGCAAACTCCTGCAGGGCGTCCGCTGCGATGTACTGTCTGCAGGCTGTGCAAAACCACTTATTCTTGAGCCTGGCCATATCGTGCTGCTTCATCTTGTCGACGACTTCCTTTACTCGGTCCCTCTTGGCTTTGGGCTTGGCTGTGGAGGGCCTCTCAGCGCACCAGGGGTCGATGTTCGCCGTGTCCGCCAAGGCCTGCCTCGCTCGCAATCGTACATGAGCACAGATCGCGTCCCATTCGTCTGTCCGCGGTAGTGGCGCGCACACTCTTTCCCAAGAAG